GTGGATTATATTCTTGTGTGATTGTTAAACGGTGTACAGTGTGTCAGGTTAGTGACCTTTGTATCAGGTGTGTCTCTCACACTGAAATTCCTGTTGTTGTCTCCAGTTTTGCTCCGGAGCTCCGCCCATGATAAGGCTGTTCAAGACCGCCCTCTGCAATCAGGAAGTGCAGTACTCTGTGCTGGTCCACAGCCCGGCCTCTGAGCTCTTCTCAGAGTATCCTCTGCTTCCGTATGATGACCCGAACGCCGTCTTCACTTACAGAGATGGACACTTCATCTGGAGGTCACAGGCCATGTGCGAGACACACAGGTAAGTGTTAAAAGTCTCCACTGTAATAAATGTGATCGATCACTTTGATGGGATCTACCACTGATGATGATGAAGATCTGCTGTGATATTATAAAAACCACAAAACAAAGATGATGGACACAACGAGTCTGATACAGTGTCTGATATTCATTTTTGTTTTTCCTTTAATTTGTCATTGGTCGCTTTGCTTCCTGTCATGGAGACGACCTGAGCATCAGATTTAATGCTGGCACTGAGAGCTCTGTCAGGGAAGCAGTCTGGAGTCCTCTGTGAGCTGATTGGTTGTCTCTGACTTTCTTCTCAGTTGGAAATTGACACAAGAACCTGACAAAAACCAGATGGAAGCTGACAGTCTATATTCTTTTCAACGTCAGTTTTATGTCTGGGATAATGTCGCCATCGCCCTGCACGTGGACCATGGACAGGTACCTGCCCCTCCTACTCCTCCGTCTATAGAGACACCTGAAGCATTTCAAAGGAAGCTGTTGCCTATAAATTTGATAAAAAATGAAACAAAGCGTTGAATTTTCTCACCTTGTTTCTCTGCTCGGTTTCTTTTTCAGGTGCTGAAGTTTGACTGTGATCGACTGAGAGCAAACCTCACGTACTGTGAGGAACCTGAAGAGGATGTTGTAACAAAGCTTTCGTTAGGTGAGAAACCTGAACAGAGTGTTGCACCTGGAATCCAGTATGACAGTTTTGAAAATGCTAAATCACTGGTTGGACATTTGTGGCCTGACGCAGGCTTCCCCCTGGGGAAGGAGCCTTCTCTCAAACTCATTTTCTAAGGTAATGAATCAGTAATTAAAGGAATAGTTTCTGTTGTCATTACAAATACACAAAAGCTGACACATGGAGGTTTACACAACTACTAAAGGTGAAGGTAACAATCCTCACCTGTGATCTATTTGCTTGTAATTATGTGTGTGTGAAAAGTCAGTGAGTTTCTGGCCTCCGGATAGACCACTGCATGTTTCACACTGATGACACCACCGTGGTTGGTCTCTGATGGAGATGAGACAGAGAACAGGGTGGAGGTAGAGAACTCGTC